TGGTGCCCTCTGTGCCCAGGCATCTTACTCTTACCTTACCTGGGCTCCTGGCACCTAGGCAGAAAGTGCGTGACCGGCCCCTCATCCTGCAGCCACCGTGAGAGGACAGTGGCAGCTGAGGGGGGCCCTCCCAGAGGGAGGGACCGTGGCCAGCACTGAGGGTGGGGGGTTCTGGGCGCTGATGGGCTCACGGGCTATGCTGTCCCAGCTGTGAGCCAGCCCAGCCTTTCCCCCCGAGGCTCCGGCTGGCGGTGCCCCACAGGAGCTCGTCCGTCTTGTTGGCGTTTACCCCACACGCTCGCAGATGGCCGCCCTAACGGACAAGCCCAGTGCCTCTTGGCATTCTCGACAGAGGACTGGCTGCAGCCCACAGAACAGCAGCTCCCGGAGGGAGTCTGCGGTGCCTTTTTCCTGCTGTGGGCCATGTCTGGGACTGTTGGCTCAGGTAGCCATGTTGACCTTGAGCCCTGCCCTCAAGGTCACAGCCTTGCCTCCAGCAGACCTGGTACTCTGGAACTTTTCGTCAGCCTCACGTGCAGGTGGAGACACCAGCTCCGGGTGGAGGAAGAGCCACAGGGCTGAGTAGGCGACAGGCAGGCAGGGGCTGGGTGACCGGGCCCGTGGAGGGGGCAGGCGTGCGTGCTCCAACAGCAAGAATGTGGACGGTGACCCCGCCTTCCACACGTCACCAGTTAGGTGCCCCATCAGGGCTACTATGGGGGCAGCTCTGTGGCTGGTGTTCAGGGGCTGGGCAGCGTGGCTGGTGGCGGGAGCCAGTGGCCATTCACAGAGCCTGCACCGACCCCAGGGAGGGTCAGCCTGGGGAGGGCTGGTCAGGGGGAGGACTTGAGGTTGACCGCTGGTAGGTGGCTGATTTGTGGTGTCTAGGGGAAGATACCAGCAGGGGAGGGAGGTGGAGGGTCAAGCTACTTGCACAGGGCCATGGGGGGTTTGAGAACTGGGGAGATAGGACAGGACCCTTTCTGGAGAAGAGACCACTTGGCCCCATGAGAGGTGGGGGTGACTGCAGCAATGGGGCTCAGCCCCCGACATGGCAGCCAGTCAGGGTGATGAAGGAGGGAGGTGTCCACCACGTGGGGGTGAAGCGGGAGGGAATGAGGGACAGAGGGTTGGGAGTCCTGGGGGAGGGACAAGGCCCTAGAGGCACACAGAAGGGAGCTGCCAGGAAGAAGGTTGAGCAGAAGATAGACCCCCAGGTGGGACAGTGGGCCACCCCCCATCCAGGCCAGTGATGTCAGTGTCCAGGAGAAACTGTCTAGAGGCGCACTGCATGTCCGCCATCTGGCAGCCTTGAGAGGGAGGCCAGGGCCGCACGAGGTTTGCTGGGCCCACCCCTCATCTGCAGTGCCCTCCTGCCTCGTTGCTGGCAGCTGTGGGGTCTCAGCCTTCCAGAAAGGAGGAATGCCCACGCTGGGAAGAAAGTGATTTGGGAACAAGCGTCTGCAGACCAGGGCCGTCCCAGGAGGGTGTGGGAGTCCAGCTTGTGGCAGGCGACCATATGGAGGACCAGCCCGGAAGAGCTAGATAACCCAGGAAGGGTATGGTGGGCACAGGGGAGGGCAGGCTGTGGATGGACTCCATGAAGCTTCTAGAAACCACCCCTGACAGGGCAGCCACTGGAATTAGCAAAGGAGGAGAGGCTCAAGGAGTCAGTCTGCTCTAGACCTCAGCAGTCCTCCCTAAACTGTGCACTTCTTAGGGCAGAGTATTGAAAACCTATAGCTCCCTGTCCCCCGTGGCTTGTCATCAGGAGTGTCTGCTCCGAGCAGTGGCGGGCACAAAAGCGGGTCTGGTAGGGCCTTCTCCCAGCTCACTTCTCTGGGCCTCATGCCCGCCTGGGTCCTGCCGCAAGCTGGCCTTCCCTGCACACCTGGGTGGGTCCCCTCTCCCAGTGGAGCAGGGAAGGTGCCAGGCCCCCCAGAAGCCCCTTGGGTACTGCAGCAACTGAGACATGGGCCTAAGGGGTGCACCCCCTGCTGGACCATGCCACAGCAGCCCACAGCCCTGCTTTCCCTCCTGAGCCACTGAATCCAGAAATGGCAGGACCTAGGTGTCCATGGGTCCTTAAGTGAATGTCCTACCTTGAGACAGGTGAGCCTTTGAAATGGGAAGCGTTTTCCTAAAGCTGATGCACCCACTGTTCTTGTGGTGCTCCAGGCCAAGGCCCGAAGGGTACACGATATATTCACATGGCTGCCCATGGCCTGTCTTCTTTTGGTGGGACCTGGCATCTTCTGGTCCACTTCGGGGGCCTGTCCCAAGTGTGGCCATTGGGGAGCATGGCTGTTGTTGCCCAGCAAAGTATTTGTCTCCAGGTGCATCCCATGGTGCCCCTTTGTGTCTGGTGCTCATCAGAGTCGGGACTGTGAGGCCATCGTCCGCTGGCTCTGCTTCTCTTCAGGTCCTGCAGGTGCCCTGTGTCTCTGGGGGGCCTGGGCCTGGCGTCCTAGCTGCTCCCCCCAAAGGCAACTGGAGAAGCTTTGCTCTGGGCTGGAGTGGGGCGGCCTTCAGACAGGGTCCTGTGGAAGGGATGACCATCACTGAGGTCCCTGCAGACACGCTTGACCAGGGTTTTGGGGGTGCAGGCTGAGAAGGGGGGGTCCTGTCTCAGGTGGAGAGTCCTCCTGGGGATGCTGCAGTCTCCAGCATTGCTGTGGGCACAGCCGTGGGCTAGACGATGGACCACCTGGGCTCTCGGCTTACTTGGGGCACCCACGCCCACCGGTGGGAATGGGGCTGTCCCGGAGCTGGGCTGATCTCGTGGCGCCCTTGGATGCGTGGCATGGAGGGCGGGGACAGAGAG